GACGTTGGAGGTGTGTGATCCCTCGTATCATGGTATCCATACCAGGCTGGTATGATTGATGCCGATACTTTTTATTCGCTGTATCAACAAACCTCCTGTGACTCAGGTGTTTTTGAACTTTTTCAACAGTTCAAACTTTGGACAAGGTTCATTTGTCGATGCTTTAGTGACACATTTGCATTTCCTGAATAAGTAAAGTGCATAAAAAAAAACTTAAAAAACAATATTTCAAGAAGTAATCTGGAACTTTAGTCCAGCCGATGGACCGAACAAGATGCTTCAGGTTCTGCTGCTTGTTTAGTGAAAACCCTCTGAGTTCTTAAAGGGACAGTCGGATTTATGCCGAGGCCATATTACACAAGAGACATCAAACTCAGTCGAGCCGTTTGATGTGCTGTGTGGTGGTATCTTAAAATATTTCGTGGAAGACTGTACGTCTGTTTGTTGTCCGAATAATAGTAATAATAATTCAATCTCGCCCTTTTCTGATTATTGCTTTTTTGTAAAAAAAAAGAAAAAAAAAAAGCGTCAACCCTATATGTTCCTTTCACACTGTCAAAGTGTTTCCGGTTTACTCCTAAGATTATTTTGCAATCATTTCAAGCAGACTGTAATATTGGAGAAGGAACTTCAATGCCATCAGTTAAAACAGGCGTGCCTCCAGAAGGGTGTCTAGTGGCGTGTCAACGTCAGAAATCTGTCATTGTTCCTTTATTTATCTTTTCAATGGCAGGGATTCAACATTGCGACACATCAAATCTCTGTCTTTTTACGGTCATGTCATAGCATTTTTTGGCAGTGGAGCTTTCGAGAAAAGCCCTAGTTTGGGAGTGTCCTATTCAAAGCAACACGGCACACCTTTTGACTCAAAGAAAAAGTACATTGAACTCTGACTACAGACGATGGAACAGGTTGGAAGATGTTGCATCAACTTCAGGTTAAACGAGGATCATCAGTTTTTTATGTTGCTACTCATCTTCCAGATACTTTGATATGATTTCTAGGGATTGGCTTGGCCTTGCATTTCTTCTATTTATCCACATAAGCACACTAACACAGGGTTAGAGATATTTTTTAATCTCCTGCGATACGGTTTTCCGCGAAAACGCGAGTCAAATCAAATTTTATTTGTATAGCACATTTCAGCAGCAAGGCATTTCAAAGTGCTTTACATCATAAACTCAAAGTCATGCAACATATAATAAACAATACATTGTTACATATTACATTTCAAAATAAAGTTCTAAACAGGTGTGTTTTTAGTTGCGATTTAAAGGAAGTCAGGGTTTCCGCTGTTTTACAGTTTTCTGGAAGTTTGTTCCAAATTTTTGGTGCACAGATGCTGAAAGCTGCTTCTCCTCTCTTGGTTCTGGTTCTGGGGATGCAGAGCGGACCAGAACCAGAAGACCTGAGAGGTCTTCTAGTATATCTCAGAATGATGTCTTCTTCTGAGATAAAATCATCCCACAAATCACAAACTAACCCTGTTTCTAAGGCTTGAAGACGCAAACAAAACGCAGAGAGAGCCACAGAAACATCAGAGCCGTTACAAATGGCGGACCTAACATGATTCCTAACAAGACGGCCTCAACGGGTCGCCCAGTGAGTCACAAAAAAGTCACGAAAAGGCTTTAGTAAAACATTCTGTGGACTGATGAGGAAAATGTTGGGACAAATTGGTAAAACCTGTTGTTGAACCTAACAGCAGATTTCTTCCAGGTAATCAGGCTGCCAGTCAAGCATGGTGGTGGCTTGATCTTTGCTTCGTCAGTCGTTGTAGTTTCATGAATTCTGCCGCCAACTACAAAGTTTTGTTGAACGTCTGGCCGTCATTGTTCTCAGGCTGTGCAGAAAGTCAGTGACACGAAGCACAACAGCAGCAACAACAAAAGAACATTTTAAAGACTCATCACCAGTCACTGCTTCATGGGAGTTGTCACCAGGCTGAGGTCAAACCAAAAGTAATCCACCAGGGTGGTAATTTATGTTCAGGCTTTTTTGATTGATGCCTCAGATCGTCTTTGGAGATTAGAAATCCTGTTTTGCAAGTGGCAAAAAGCTATTTGTCATCCATAGCTTTTTGATATTTACTTTCCTACTTCTTCTTTTTCTTCTTTAGCACCACTTTTGTTGTAGTGATTTAAAAAAAAAAACAAACCTTGTTTCGTGAGGCTCAGCTGCGACATCGGGCGAAACTCCAGACGTCGAATGTTTGAAATGAACATTTTTTTATATTTTTTTTATCAAGCTCATGTAGGGCTATGGTGATATGTATTCATCAGCAATGTGAATAACCTCAACTCTTCACTACAGCACCACGTTTACAATCCAGATTGATGAATTTAGACCGAAACTCAGATTGACCTCTTATCTGCAGAGTTTCTTCTGAACATCTTAACTTGCCTTTCTTCCAGAGCTAGCAAGGTGAGCATGTTGTGTTTTCCCTAGAGAAAAGCAAAAACTTATAGGTTTTCATAATACCAATGCATTTCTCTGTTTAACTCACCGTTTTAAATTACAGACACATTTGCAGCCATTTGCAAGTCGACGTTTCAAGGCCAACATAAAAGCTATCATGCTGCCATTCGAGCTCCGAGCTGAAACCGAAACGGCAATAAATTATTTATTAATATGTAAATGTGAGTTGTTGTTTTTGTTAACAAAAAATAATATACTAAAAGCGTGCTGTGATTGTGTGTATTAGAAAGACAATACAGCATTGAAATGATGACTTCTTAATTAGTATGCTTTCAAATTTTGTGACAGAATTAGTCTCTTAATTGCATTGTTAAAAACTAATCTGCTAAGCTAAGGGAGGAAAAATGTCCTGAATCAGTCACTGTGACATCAGCCCGGCATTCCTTATCAAACTGAGAGGGAGACTGCTCCCTTTCACAAAGTCTGAAATTCTTGCAAGCCCAGTTGGTAGTGTGTGACTAATGCGTGGGCTTTCTGAGTTTGGGTGTCACAGCAGGAGGGCGGTGATGAGAACGATTATCTAAACAATGATTTCATTCCATTCAGCAGCTTCATCACTGTCAACTTTAAAGTCACCTGAGCCCAGCAAAGGCCTGTTCATTAGATCCTTTGTTTTTTTTTAAATAAAAGAACATCTTATTTCCCTCGTGTTAATAAATGAAAAATTACATCATGTGCAATTACAATCGTTTACAGAATTGGCTGTAATGGAGATTGTTTTGTTTTTTTCATTGACTCACTAGGAGAGTTGACAGCTGCAAGTGGACGTCTTCAGTCACTTTACGAGAAATGTAACTGCTTTGGGGTTTTATTGGAGTCATTATACAACTTGCTGCTTGAGTTCACTTCGAAAACAGGAAACAGGCCAACGTGTTTTATTTATTTACTCTTTTCGATGATGAGTGAATAAATATACGTCAGCTTGATGCGTAAGTCCTGGACAGACATCGGACCATTCAGCTTGGCAGGACTGGTGGAGTTAACTTAGTAAATTAGTTCATGTGGTCACTTTCCCTTATCTGAACATATTTGTGATTGTGACCTGAAACCTAAACCTTTTGACTCATGCTATGGTAAAACATTTCTCTTGAGTTTTTTTTTTTTCTGGTCAAACTTCATGGAGCAGGGACTTCGTTCCTGCTCGTCACGTTCTCAGTCCTTTCTTCGGGGTGAACGCGTCCTTTGCTGTTCCCACAGATCACAGAAAGTCTGAGTTTTTGTTAGTTCTCAGGTTGCTTTTGAGCATCTTGATTAAAGTTCCGACAGCATTTCCGGTCCGCAAAACCTCAATGTCCCGCTCATGTCGGAAAAAACACAAATTTGCAATTGTGGTGTTTCCATTAAGAAACACAATTAAAATCACATGAGTAAGTTTGCTCACTCGATAAGTCACTAATAAACATCATCCTCCAGCTACTTCCTGTTGTCTTCTTTGTGGTTTGCGCCAGTGGGAGCATTTGGTTGTTGATCATGTGGCTTTTTTTGATGCAAAAGAAAAAAAAAACATTTCCATTGGAGTTTTGTGAAATCAACCATAAAAAACCTCTCATTCCAGTGCTAAAACTTTTTATTAAAAAAAATATTTATATACATATTTTAATTGGTAGGTTTCTTTTTAGCAAATATATTTTTGAAATGTCAAATTGCGCAATTACATGGTCAATGGAAATGCAGCTCCAGTTCAGACTTGGACAGGGTTGTGTGTTCACATAGAACTGTGATCCCAAACACACATCCAAACCGTCTTTGCAGGCCGTCAGTACCGTCCATATATCCCAAAAGGACTGACATCAATCTTCTAGAAAACCTTTGGACTGTGTGAGAAAACCAATGAATCTCAGTTTGCATGTCTGATCATAAAGGTGATAGAAAGACGGCAGGAGCTATTTGGCAGAACATGTGACCGAGGTGTCATTTGATAAAGTATTCAGACCAAGTATTAGTGGAGAGCTGTGTCTAAACCTGTCCAGGGTGTTCACCTGCTAGACTGGCCTTTGATTAGGACAACAAGAAGGAGCCACATTCCTTGGCTAGAGAAAAAACTTGTTTACAAAGATAACACAATTATAACACACAAAACAGACATTTAATGTGGATACATTCAAAGTGAAAATATACGCAGATGTAGTGGAACTCTGCTGTAAAAGATGAACAGACAAACATTACTTTACAATTCAACATGAGTTGCAGGAAAAACCTCGGACACTGCGGTTCATTCTTTAAAACAAGAAACACGTGTGACTAAAGGAAACATGACCTCAGAAATATGCAAAAAAATGTTTTCTGCAGTTTAACACAGAACTGCACAGATTTTTTTTTCTTTTTATGAAGATACCGACTGACCTGCTCCGAAATCAAAGAAAACTCAAGAGATAAACAGGTTTCCTGTGCACTGTGTTTCTGTTCATGTGAACAGTGACTGCTTGTAGCCACTCCTGAGTGATTTCTAATCCAGAAGGGTGTGTCCTTGTAGTGCAGCCAAGTATTTAAAGGAGTGAAATGTTGGTTTGCTGCTTGCTTTCTGCCTCCAGACTCCATTGTTGCGTTTTTGCTCCGAATGAACTGGGTGAGTTTCTCCGTCTTTGTTCAGCCTCACTGCTAAACTTTTCACACATGTAGTCTTTGCTCAGATGAATCATCTAGATTTGGCTCAGACTCACTAATAGTCACTCATGTGCTGAAAAGTGAATTTCATGGACAACATGACTTTATTATTGCCTTTTGTATGAGATACTGCTATAACTACACATTGTTTTGCTTGTACGCTGGTGTTTGCGCTTTTACGTCGCTGTTTTTGTTCCGATTTGATGTGAATTCTGAAATGAATTCCGTTCCTTTATTCCCGTTTGTGCAAAGCAGCAACAGAGGATATTTAAAGTGAACTTTGCTTCACAGAGAAAGATTTCGCAGGCCCTGTCTAAATGCTCTTCATTCAGCTGGGGTCGCGATGTGGTTGGCATAAACGCTCCTCAAGGCAAACGGGTCACGAGTGCAAATGATCTGACTTTTGTTAACAGCAGTGCAGCAGCACAGCTGCTGATGGTGGTGAGAGGACAAAAAAAAATGATTTTTCTTAATTTCAGGATGAGTCCAAGACGACTTTATTCACTTCATTCATTTAGAGTTTACATTTCCTTGAAAGAAAAGGAAAAAAACGTAATGTGATCTAACCCTTCACTTAAAAAGTCAATTTACTAAAAGATATGCAACTGGATATCAATGAACCAAACACAGATACTTCTATAAACAATTTAGTCCTACTAACATCAGGAAGCTGCTGTTATGTGTTTCATCGTGAGGGTGATGGGTTCAGATGGGTTCATGAGCGTCTTGCTGCTTGATCATAAAATCAAAAAGTTATATTGAGGATTTACAACCTAACTCCTGCTTTAAGTTTCTGCACCACTTCCTGTCTGACCTGTGTGTTGTGTTGGTCTCAAGCAAACATCCGATTCCTTCACAGAAACATTATTTTGGAAAAAAAAGAAAAGAAAAAAAAAAGGCAAATAGAAAAACATCCTTTTGACTTTTATGCCCTGTTTTGTCTGTCAAATAAAATCTCCATTGGTTTAAGCTTGTGATGTGACCAAATGTGAATGCTTAAAAAAAAAGAGTGGGTGAATGATTTTGCAAGGCAACTCTGCATACATTTATCTACACAGTGGCGTCTGCATAGGCTGGTTTCAGACAGATGGTCTGGATCTTAGCTATTCAGACACGTGGAATTTGTTGAAGTTTTAAATTTTCTCCAATTGAAGCGTTGCTGACGCGGACTGAACAATTTAATCCTCTTCTCCCGCTGAAACTGCCGGCAGAATACAAACCTAAAACAGAGCAAAAGCTCATTGTCTTCTGTTCACTGACTGGAAATTCAGCTTGAGAAATTGATTTCAATGGGAGAAATCCCAGATGGAGGACTCACAGGAGATGTGAATCCAGCTAAACAGGAAGGTGTAAAGGTTTGAATTCCTTTTTATTCTAACATCGATTCAAGGATCCTTCAGAAACGATGTCAACACAAAACGTGGCGGTCATGTAGGTCAGTGGAGAATGCGTTTTTCCTGGACCTTCTCTGCAGCTGGGCCATTTATTTAGAACTTTTCATCAATCTGTCTTTTTAAAAAGTTCAATGAATGCAGCTTGATTAGACCGAGAGCAGGTGACTCATTCACTGCAGAAAGGTACGTTTGTATTTTATTTATTTATTGCTATTATTTCGCTTAAAAACGGTGCCACTGTCCTTGTGCTGCAAGGTCCGCTCTCTGGCTGCCTTTGACTAGATTTCGGAGCAAATCATCACCTCTTACACCCAAAATTCAGCCAGTTGCTCCTGTAAGCCGACAAACCAAGAGAGGAGAGAGCAGGTCGGGGTCATTCTGAGCCACATGCGCTGCTGCAGTCGAGCTGCCCTTCATATGATCCTGATTACGGCTTTTTCCTTTCGCTTACGGTCCAGGTTGTGTTTGCTATCCAACACTAGCTGCGCTTATTAAAATCTAATGCCACCTTATGATTATGATTTGGCCACACAGACCCACAACCTCCACTCCGACAGATGCATAAATGGTTCTTGTGACAATTCCTGCAACAAAAAAAAAAAAGAATCTGTTTTCCATAAAGGAAGAAGGAGCAAGTGAGAATATGCTCAGGCAGCTCATACGCACAAGCTTTAATCGATTTAAGCTTCGTGTGGTTCAGTGAAAGCAGGGGAAAAAAAGTTGGGAAGAGTAACTTTTCTTGATTACGTATCTGTTGAATAATTTCTGGATGCTGCAAATATCTGTAACAGTAGGGTGTAGGAATAGACGCTCGGGGGGCTTTTGGATCACCTTGAAAGGGAATTTATTGAGGGAACAAGTGTTTGGAGATTATTTTGTTTTTCTGGCACCAGATGATAGTTGTCTCTTGCGTCACTCTGAGCAGCGAAAGCCTGCCACAGACCGATGTATCACGCTCCGTTGATACATCTGTCTGTCTCAGTTGATCATCTCCACGCGAGGCGTTTGAACCTAATAGATAGGCTGCGTGCTGCAGATAAGGCAGAGGATGCTGTTATTTGTCTCCTCTTTCCCTACAAGTTAAGTGAATTTAAAATCCACTCGGCGACACAAACAACTGACTGCATCCGGTGCAGTCTTCATTCATGCCTCAATCGTCAATAGGCACAAAAAGGTAAGGATGGACAGTCAGAGAGGAGTATCACGCTAGTGCCAGGTTGAACACCATTTTTTCTTCACAGCCGTCTTTGATGCATGGATTCGACAAGGTTTAAGTAAGATTTTGGTCCATAATACCAAATGGAATCATCTATTGCACCCTATCCCGAATGTCTGCCATCGGATCCACTGTGGAGGACATTGGTGTTGAGTGATATCGTTTCCATGTCCAATAACCAATCTAAGATCATTTAAACTGGAAGCAGCCATCAGAGGATGGGTCATTATTTACCAAATGACACTTTGTAACAACATTCTTATCGACTCTCACATGTTCATGACAGTGACATGCCCGTCTTATGCACACCCCATCAAATAAAGGGTTACCAAAAAATGCACCCTGTTGGCACAGTTCCAACTGTCTGAAAGTAAAAAGTGAGCAGAAGCTCTTGTCGCTGCATAACATCCCAAACCAGAGGGATTAATGGCATTGTCTGTAAGTCCAAAGACAGTTGTGCAGAGGAGATCAGTAGATTTATTTAGACCAGCCCTGTCTGGTACCAGCAGCCACGCCCAGTTCAAAGCATCTTCAGCCCTCTTACTTCCTGACGCTCTGATGCTCAGTGAGAACGTCAGGAAGTTGTCTTCATCACGTCTGGATGCACTGAGTTGCAGCTGTGTGGTTCGCTGTTTACGTTAATGACTAGTTGAATAGACGCACCTCATAAAGGGGCAACTGAAACATAAATATGGGATGAATACTGACGAGCTGTGTTGGCGAACAGACGAAATCAAGAGGGAATGAATATTCTGAAAGGAACGGTAGCATAAAGTTCAACAAAGTGTTTTATTTAAAAATGTCCATGCTTCAGAAACTAAGTTAAAATGATCCCCTGAGTGAAATGATTCAACACTCGTATTTCAGTGTGTATTAATGTGAAGTTGTTTTGGGATTTTACAGCCACTGGATTCCTGTAACATGTTATCTTAGAGTGAAACATATTCGGTGTTGCAGCTCTTAAGTGGTGCAGTAGTTTTAGCAGCATGACGAGCCACAGGATAGTTTCGACGTGTAATTTGCATTTAGAGCAGAATGATATTGAAGTTTTTCATTTCACGTTCAGTAAAAATGCGCCTCTTGTCAGTAAAGATGCACAACATCATTGTCATAAGGGCCGTGTGTGTTCCAGCAAAATGGTGTTTAACTAGAAAAGCCACACTCATTCACTGTTAAAAATGCCACTGGATTTCAGGCTTATTTCATGCTGGTATGAACATATTCATAAAAACATATTGAGCTCGAGGCTTAATCTGACCAAATCTGGAAATGTGATCTCGGTTTGTGAAGTTAGAGGCATGAAACTGTGCAGCCTGTGTGAGGATTTGAGTTTTCCTCTGTGTTTATTTTAGGTTTCTGTGTCTTTTGAGTCTCCGTGTTGTCCTGTCTGCCCCTGGATCGTTACCAGCTGTGTGTCGTTCCCTGATTACCCTCTGCGAATTTAATCTTGTGTTCCCTGATCCTCGTCGGGTCCTCGTCTAATCTGTCTCGTCGTCTTGTCCACCACCTAGTCTGTCTATTGTCATGCCAGTTGCTGCCAGTGTGAGAACAGTTGCTGCCTGCGCTGCCTGGATGGTTTGCCTCATTCATCATTAAAATCATCGTTCTTTCACACCAACCTGGGCCTCAGCGTCATCCTCACCACCTCTCAAGCGCACTTCATGACAGCCTGCTTAAATAATGAAGAAGCGATGAACCAATTTGCTTCGCACACGTCAGTGAAGAGTATCTCATAAAACTATCAGTCTGTTGTTGTCCACCTGACATCGTATTCCCATCAAAATAATTCAGTGTAACGGTTCCAACCACTTCAATGACCACAGATGCATAAAAACCACTGTGAAGGCATTAAGGACTGATTCTATAAAGGTTTCTGAAAGAACAGGTCGATCTCAGGAGTTCAGTGAATTCAGTGACGGGATGCTGCCTGAGCAATATGTCCAGTCAAGAAATGTACTGAATATTTCACAGTCAACTGTGAATGGCATTCGAACAAACTGGGACTGATGGGTGATGACAGCGACTCAGCCACAGAGTGGGACGGCAAAAATCAGAGTAGGGTAAAGGGGCGCCAACTTTCTGCCATTTCTAGGCTTCTTGCGACATTCGAATCACCTCTAGAAGAGCACGGAGGCGATGCGAATGTCGCTATTTCCAGGTGGTGCAACGTTTCGGATGCAGTAAAGGTCATTGCCACTGCACCGTAGAACAGTGGTGACAGGTTCTGTGAAGTGAATTTTGCCATCTCTGTCAAAGGGAAAAAATCCGGATGTGGTACTTCTCAGAATACAGCCACCTTAGGCAAGACGCTTCACCTGCTTTGCCTGCTGGTGGTCAGACGGTGGCGCCGGT